ATCGCTGTGATGGAGGTCAGGTGAGTGTGACACCCCAGGGTTGGGCCACGTGGGCTGCTCAGACAACCTGAGGGTGCTGGGGGGCGCTGTGCATCCCCGAGTTCTGGGGGAGCTTGCAGGAGTGCTGGCCAGGGCAGAGCCACCACCGAGGGACCCCTCCCTGACCCCATGACTTTGCTTTAGGGGCTCCAGCAGCCTGCGGGCCTCCACGAAGCCCTCGCTCACTGCCACGCGGTTCAGGCCTGGCAGAGGCCTGGCCCCCCAACAGCCTGTGAACCCCTGTGGCATCCCTGAGTTCTAGATGGGAGGGCCCTGAGGTGGCACGCTGTTGGGACGAGGCCTAGGAAACCGGAAGCGGTTGCTGCAGGCAGGCAGGGCTCTGTGATGCGCTCCAGGCGCAGGACCTCAGAGGCTGAGCGCGTGCAGGAGGCAGTGGGAGCCGCTTGCTGCGCCCACCACACCCGCACACACCTGGAGGCTGGCATTTACCAGTTTCCACAGTTTAGCAGCAACCCAGGCTGGATTATCGCGTTATACGCACGCTCCTTAGCGCCTTCAGAAGGGGCCGTCGCACAGGCCCGGCCTGGCAGGATGCTGCCCTCCTCACCCAAGGTCAGCCAGGCCTGCAGGTAATGAGGGGCAGGGGCCAGGACTGTACCATTGGAACTCCGGTGGGGGGTACGCAGCTAGCTTCACGGGCAGCTTCACCAGCTTGTCTCCTGCTGTGGCTTCCAGGACGGGGCCCTTGAGCCACTCGACGCTGATGAAGGGCTTTTCTGCCAGACGGGAGGCATCGGTGTAAATCCAGAGGCCGGCATCGCTCACCCACCACTGCCCAGCCATGGCCCTGCGCCCCGAGGACAGACCCTTGCAGACTGGGGCTCACTCTGCCCAGCAGGGTTGGGGGCAGACAGGCCATCCACCCTCAGCCCTCCCTTGCCCTGGGCTGGACTTCATCCTGCTTGGTGCACTATGACCTCTGACCCTGGCCCAAGCTGCACAAGGAGCCTTGTTCCACAGGCCCGGTGACCACCCAGGCCCTGCTGGGCACGCTGACCCACCCCAGATGTACCGTGCACGATGACCTCGGTGCTCTCCCGGAACCGCTGGATGCCATTGTTGGCCTCGCACGTGTACGGGCCGAGGTCGCGCTGGCTGACGTTGTGGACGGTCAGGATGCTGGAGAGCTCTGTGTGGGTCTGCTGGGAGCGCCGCTCCGGCACCCACTTGCCCCGCTCGGCCTGCCCGTGCCCAGGGGAAGGGCAGGGTCAGAACAGGCAGGCCCCGGAGGGCTGACACCAAAGGCGCACCCAGCCCAGCCAGCAGTGACGGAGCCGGGACGCGCCCAGAGTTGTCCCCGGGGGAGGAACATGGCCCCATCAGACCAAGGCTTCCGGGGCAGAGCACAGTCCGCACCTCCGCTACACACAGGCAGAGTGCCGGGCCAGGCAGGAGCGGCACAGGGGGCGCCGGGCAGGGATGGGACGCCTGGAGGTGGCTCAGGTACAACCCTTGCAGAGCCCACGGCCTTACCTGCTTCCCTGGGTAGTCCCAGTCGAAGGTGACCCCCGAGTTGAACTCAGCCCACACGGTGCAGTTCAGGACCAGCTTTTCCCCGACGAGCAGCTCCATGGACTTCTTGGGGAACAGCTGGATGTCATAGAGCTCGTTGCCTGGCGACACAGGAGCAGTGACCCCCAAGCCCCTCACCAGCACAGCACCCGGAGTACAGGGCGCAGGGCACCCACCGAGACCCGCTGTGGCACCTACAGCCCCGTCACTGAGAATCTGGGGTCTCCATCTCCCCCTGCAGTCTTCCTCCCGGGACCCCGTGGCCCAGGACAGCCCCTACCTGTGATGTGCACGATGAAAGGGTTGGACAGGAAGGCCTGGCCGCCCCAAGTGGTCTCGCACTGCAGATACAGGGTCTCCCGCAGCAGCGGCGTGGGCACCCGCATGCCCCGGCGGTCATCCCACACCACGTCCTGCCCGTCGGGCTGCAGCACTGAGCTTGGCTGCTGGGATATGGTGGCCGTCAGCTCCCGCTGCCCCCTTCCTCCTGGCCAGGTCAATGGCTGCCTTTCCCAGGGAGAGGACAGGAGGGCATGGTCGTGGGGGGTGAGGGGGCTGTACCAGGCGCAGGGTGACGTTGAGGCCGGGGATAGACACCAGGCAAGGCACCCACACGGAGTCCTTCCTGTCGACCAGGAGCGTGCCCGGCTTGTTGATGAACGGCTGCTCCGAGTCTGCAGAGAGAGCGCAGTTTGTGGGAAGGGCAGGTGGAGTTTTGGGGGGTCTCTGCCAGGTGGGGGCTCCGGGGCAGTTCCACAAGGTCTGGAGGCCAGGGGTGGGGGTGGGGGCCTGCTGCCCCTCCAGGACCCTGCCTGTCACCGAGTTGGCTGCAGGAGCGCGTGGGGCTGGGCCCCTCACCTCTTACGAACACATAGGTGCTGGCCGCGGTGGTGCCCTCAATGCGGGCCTTAATGTACTTGTAGTAGCAGCCATAGCTGCCCGTGTCGTTGGCGTGGGCCTCGGGAAGCAGCAGCACCTTGCAGTAGGGCCGGGCGTCCGTGCCTTCGCAGTCGCGAACGAACCCCAGGTCTTCACTGTCCTTTTCCCCCGTGGCTGGCGCTTCCTGAGCCCCTGGCCAGGCCCACTGGAGGGGGTGCTGCCCCCTGGCAGAGGAGGCAGAGGTCAAGGGGGGCTCCACCGCAGCCCCAGGGGCCAAGGCTTGCCCACAGCTTGTCTCACCCGGAGGTCAGGCCAGCCGGGTGCCTGGGCACACACCATGGACCCAGCCCACAGCGGGCACTGAGTCCCGGGCCTCTGTGCCTGGCTCCAGGCCTCTGTGCGGCAGGCTGGCCTCAGAGCATAGCTGGGCTGCAGGCGGCTAACATGCCGGGGCCTTTGAAATTGGCAACTGGCCTGGGCTGAACAGCGGCTGCTGACGTGGGTGCAGGGTGACCCAGGAGTGGGTGCAGGGTGATGGTCTGTGGTCCGTGTGAAATGACCAGGGGTGGCTGTGGGGGAGGTGGGTGCAGGGTGCCTGGGTCTGCAGGGTCTGCCAGCTCCCGGGCCCACAGGGAGGCCCACTAAGCCTCAAGGCCTCTCTGCCCGGAGAAGCTGCCTCCTGGGCTCTCCACCACCATCTCCGGCCTCAGTTCTTAGTCTCCTTTGCCTGACAGACAAGAGGGACCGAGGCCCCTGCTCCTCTGGCTGGGGGCTGAGTACCTGCAGGAGATGGACAGGCTGTCGTTGGAGTCAATGACGTGTGTCTCCTCCGTGACGTTCAGGGTCGGGGGGCTCATGGAGTAGCCACTCACCAGGCCTGGGGAAGGGGACAGGGTTAGTGTGGAGCCGGATCATCAGTTCACACGACAATGTCAACCAGGCGCAGACCCCCCTAGGGCAGGGGCCCCAGGCAACAGGACTAGGCGCTCCCTGCCCACAGCTCCTGCCCGGGACCCACCCAGGTGAGCCCTGGCCCAGGCTGGGATCCAGCCCAGACCCCTGGCCCCACGGGGCTGAGCTGCCAGCAGGAGGTTGATGGGGGCTACTCAGACCTCATCCTGCATTGGGGAGGCCTGCCGGTCACCTTGGCCTTGTGCACCCCAATATCTGCCCAAAGGCCCCTCCCTTCTGCCTGTGAGGGGTCCTCGCAGTACAGACTGTCCCCGAGCATGCCCAGGACTGAGGCCTCGGCTTCCCAGGACCTCGTGCTCCGCCAGGTCCCATGGAGTCCACCTCATGTGTCCTTGGCCCCAACTTCTGTCCAGCCTCCAGGCCCCACTGGCTGCCCTAGCTCCTCCGACTCTGCCTGCTTCAGCCCTGCATGCTTCCCACAGGGCTTGTCCCCAAACACACACATAACTCACCTGGCCGAGCTGAGCACACGCCCAGCCCCCAGGACCCTGGCATGGACCCTCAGCTCCTCACCCACCATCCTCCTACCAGTGTGATAGCCTGCGTGTGCGTGCAAGCGAGCGTGCGCGCGTGTGTGTGTGTGTGTAAATATGTGTCTATCTGTGGGCATGGATCTGTGTTTTTATGGGGTGGGTGTATATGTGACATGTCTTTGACATGTCAGTGCATGTGCACACATGGACTTTGACATGTTAGCATGTGTGTGTGCGTGTGTGCATGCGTGTGATCCAGCAGACCCCGGGAGGTCTGGGTCTGGAACTCTGGCAGATGTATCCTGCCAGGACCATCCTGAGACAACAGGAAGAGAGGACTGCATGGCTGGAGGCCCAGGGCTGTGTCCTGTCCCTCCCCGCAAGTCCCTGTCCTCCCAGGGGGCAGGGCCCACTACCTGCCCCTGCCCCTTCCCTCCCAATGGGTCCAGCTCCTCTGCCCTCCCAACCCAGCTCCCCGAGGCCAGGGCCCCCC